ATCAGGTTTATTCTCTGTCGCAGATGAGGTCTCGGGTTCAATACCTTGCGTGGAGAAAATTAGACCGAACACACAATACATATTTTGTTCAAGGCAAATCTCAATAGCGAATGATTGGTAAGAGATGACAGGTGAGGTTTTTACTAAATAATAATATTAAGTAGTATTGTGTTCCGCGTAGGGGTAGGTACACAAAATGTTTTGTTTCGTCTGAAATCGAATTATACATCATATGAGCTCATACTCAAGCCATCAGCCATGGAGCGATTTATTAAACATTAAAAAAAATTACTTATTTGGCTAATTCCCCGACCATAATGTCGTCAGCAGTTTTAAGTAACTTGTATAATATTGCTAGCAAAACAGCATTTGTAACTAATATGATTAAGTACTACTTATTTCTGTTTACAACTTGACTTATACAATTTTTAACTATATGTGCACTTTGTTGTCTACCTAAAATAATACCTTCGCCTTAACCCAGCTATGTTAAGACATTCTTACTAGGGAATGTGTAGTGACGTACTCAAGTAACCGATACGTTTGTTTAACGTTTAGTATAACTATGTTCGGCGTCATGTTGAGTTATATTTTTTGGAGTCCTATTTAGCCTGGTTATTCATTTCATACAATTCTAGCAAAATTATACTTTGATATGTACTTACGTAAGCGTACATATATTAGTTGGAATATTGTCATAAATTTCCCGAAAGTACTGGGTATTTTTTTATATATTACTTTTGCGCGGCAACACTGGTTCTATTTTAAAACGTCATCGGTCTCATTGTAAGACTTTTCCGAACTAACCATTTTGATTTTACTTTTATGAGTAATAATTACAAAAAATAAGTTTTTACAGAATATTTTCTGGGTAAGATCATACAACTATGATGAAGGTGGTATCTTAGTATCTTATTGACTAGAGAAATGTCAAATACATGAGCAAAAATAATACTACACTGCCGCTATTTATCAATTCAAGTTTACCACATTATACATAATACAACTATATCTACTATATCTATCCAATATAAGAGTTTTTCCTCCAACTTTGATTTAGTTCCGTTTGGAGTCTTGACTCGGCGCTGATTAAAGATTCAAGTTGGCACCTGCTAGATAGAACCGTTCACTCCAGAGCTGGTGCTTTCCTCGCTCAAGGAATTAGTATCGCAATACAGCGAAAAAAAAAAGATGCCATCATTAAACCCACTGCCACAGGAACCAAACTTTTTAAATTTGTTTTAATTTTCTATTGTAATTATTATTATAAAATTAAGCATATTGTAAATACTATATACATAAATATATGGAAAATTCTGAATAAGTTCTTTATACTACATATACATTATTTCAATCATTCGAGAATGATTTCATCCAATAACTAATTACAGCAATCAAATTGTGGTAAATCACGAATTTTTTCATTAAAATTCTCTTTAAAAACGCATTATTGCCAAAACTCAATACATACCTTTGGTTTTTTTTTTCAAAATCTAATTATAAACATTGAATTGGGTATTCGCGATAATGATTGATGACTTAGGGCTCGTTCTTGGCGGACGGATTTTGGAACGAAAATTTGTTAAAATCACATAAAATACTTTAATTCTTACTTATGTTAATTTGTACATTTCACACACACATTTCTATACAAAATATAAATCACACAGACGCAATACGAGCAAAAAAGACTTAAAAAATTAGTGGCGCTACAAACTTTTTAGGTCTGAGCCTCAGATTTCTGTATCTGTTTCATGGTCATTTGATAATCTAATGGGCAAGTAAGTGATTAGCCTCCTGTGTACGCCCTGTAAAACTTGTAGCGACATCTACAATCTGCGCTTACAAATCCCAGCTAACGAGGTTATTCCGGCTGCTAAGAACTACGACTTCTTGAGCTGAGCTACTGGGGCCTTAGGGCGAGTCAGTGGTAAGGGAGATCTCTTCAGATTTAGAAACAGTACACCATCCTTCCTTTAAAAACTTATACATTTTATTTAATCAAACTGAAACTATTATATTAAATTGTTTAAAGGAAACATTAGTCATGTGTATATGCTGTAATGTAATCTGTTGTGATAGTGACAACTTATTTCCATGACGTTCTGCCAATAAAGCATTTTATCTTAGATATCCGAGTTTAAAAATAATACAGTAGTATTTTAATTGGAAGAGTATTACATTAATAATACATAGAAGTCTTTAATTGTAAATATATCTAGATAGTTACAACCCTAAATTGGTCGTCATTTTTATAAACAAGTAGGGGGTCAGCCTGAAATGTCCTATATTTTGTCATTTTTAACATGCCGGTATCCTCACGATGTTTGTCTTCACTGTAGGAGTAAGTGATAATTAAAAGACCTATTGGTGCACAGCCGTGATTCGAATATATATATATATATATATATAATAGTGTATCGTTAAAAACATTGGCCGCGCCCTTATCGAAGCCAGGTGTAAAATCCATCACGCGAGCAACGTTAATTTGGCAACACGTCACACTGTTATTACATTCACGAAAAAGGCCAAAAAGACGAAAAATACCAAAAAGACTGATACAGATTGATGCGTCTTGGTATCTTGGGAATAAAATTTGTGAATTAATCCTCATTAGGTAAGACTAGGGTCATGGTACGATGTTGCATAGTGTGAATTAAGAATGCATTCTGTTCAAAGATACTTTATTTCTAAAATATTATTATATTACAAAATTAATCATACAAGCACCAAAAGACGATGAATCATAAAAATACATGTGAATAAAGTTAATTATTTTATCTGATTAGATACTAAGATACGCCCGTAGCTACGAATCAGCTGTTAATAAGAAATAAAGAATATCACGAAATGACAAAAAGTTATGGTTTAAGTGTTAATGTAAAAATTATTACAATTTTGGTGGTTGGCCGTGAGTCTCGTGAAAGCTATCTTGATCTGTGCCGGAAGCACTCTTTCGCAATCCCTATACCCGTCCACTCCCAAATGTTATGCAGCAATGATATTTTCTACCAAAACGACGTCAACCAAGGATTTTACCCATCACAATCAATTAAAGGAGGTGGTAGCGTTCATGGTGCAACACGTGTCCCAGGTACGTTTACCGTCGTCTTATGATAAAAAAACTTAACTATATACAATTTAGAAATTATAATAAATTCTCTTCAATCGGCAGCTCATGTCTGAGAGCCGTGGTCAGCAAGAAAACATCTGGGGGCGGACAATCTGTTTCCACCGGTTTCTGTCCAGCGCCTCTGCCAGTGTACAGTTTTGAGGACGATGAGTCTTTCACTTAATCGGTCCATCTGATTGATAAACGGCCACGTGATCTTTTGCCTTCTGTGTTACCCACCACGAACAGTTTCTCCAAGTTTTCATCGCCTTTGCGAAATGGCCGAAATACAATTCGCCGCGGCGTATTAATTATAACAAACACAGAACAAATATAACCTAGAAAAAATCAGCCAATTCAAGAAGTATCATATTTTAGGAGTAACACTACACAAAATCTGACTTGGAAACAACATTTATAATAGGTATGCGCCTAAACAAATGTATGTGTTTGAGCCGAACTCATAAAGTTGCGTGACGCAACTTGCATCATTATCATTGTTTTGTTGCCTAAGTTTTGCGCTTTAGTATCGTTTAATTTAAATTTGTTAGATACGAACACATTTTTATTAGTCAAAAAGCTGTAAGCTGTAGACCAATTTTTATGAAACTGGGTTTTTAACAATCCCAAGTTTATTTCTTCTAGACGCTGTCACTGTAGAAAAGCACCCAATGGTATTGAAAACATATAAAGATAGCCTTTATCTACCAAGCTGTATACAAAAATAGTCAACCAATCTTTTCTTACCGAAATATTACGATCTTTCCATGTTGACTTGTGTTCTTTGCCTTCGAAAGCCTCCTTCACTGCTCAGTAAAGATCCGTGGCTTCTTCTAATGCTTTCAAAGAGAAGGTTATTAGTTTTATTGAGTCATAGTGCTTTTTTAACAACACAAGGGAGTTCTTAAGTTATAGGTTTTTGTCGCAATACATATGACATTTTGCATACTGATTGTGCAGTTCATTGTATTGTATATTATGTACTACTGTTATGGCAAATAAAGTATTTATTTATTATTATAGTTGAACTACCTACTATTAAGCACAGCTTAGATGACTTAGGGCGTGGCATCTGTAGCGAATTTAATCAAAAATTTAAAGAACTAAACTTCACCAAATAGTGGTTTTTGTACACGTAACCACTAAAATTGTGTAATGCTTATAAACTGTAGGTCCTTACTTTGATTAGGTATCATTAGGATTAAGGTAAGATTACTAAAGCAATAATTATTTTAGTTAAAACGATTGAAAGGCTCACCATTTACTTACATAAAAAATGTTAACCTAGAATAGTATCGGGACTTTTCAAGTTATATTATTGATAAACCAACCAATTTTACGGCAATATCACTTTGTATAATAATATATCATTAAACAGTAGCCGAGGCGGGGCCAATTACATACAAAAAACGTTGCCCAAACCACAACCTAATAACTGGTTTCCTAGGTAATAACTTAATATCCATTATGGAGTAACCGCCTAGCTATCATTTAGCTTACAACTCGTTTTTTAGTTTGAATCCCGGTGAGAAAAAAATGCAGTATGGTTTGGGTTGTATTACTTAATGCTAGCAGTTTGATCTATATATATTAAATTAGATCAAAATAATGAAATCGGCCAAAATATTTTGATAAAATGTAATAATGTCCAAACATGGTTCAGAGATCGTGATGTCGAATAAAAATATGCTTATGAACTCTGTTTAGCAGCCAAATTCGAACACTACTTCCACTTTATCTATTTATTTGTGGAACATAGGTACTATATAATTTTTAAATAGCCATTTATTTCATAATTGTAGACTGTAAAAAATATGAAAACAAGTACATTTATAGATAGAAGATGTTAAAGACTTTGTCTTGGTCTCAGATTTTATTATCATCAAGCTTAATGTAACATACGAATTATTTTTGGAATCTGTTTTCCTTTACAGTATCTTTTCATAATGTCATATGACCTCTGGATGGGGCAGAGGGCGTTTAGAGCCTCCATCGTTCGGTCTTGAGCTTCGCATTTCAACTTCTTCCAAGTCTCTCCTGCTTTCTTTGCCTCATCGCAACTGTACATCACCAGGTTTCCTTGGGACGGCCACGTGTCTGCTTTCCTTGCGGGCAGGGAAGCAGAGCCAGCTTGAATATATGATTGGAATCTCATCGGAGTGTCTAATCGGGGTATCTTGACAGCGCTCCCAGAGATGCTCGTTGGATATCTTCTCGTGCCAGTACCCAGAATATGGCGGACACAGCGGTGGAAGCCGATGCGAGACGTCATTAGTGACCTTTTCACTATATGAGAAAGTTAATTAATGTGGAAAAATTCATTAGTTCACAGCTGGGGTTCATACGAGATCGTTACCGGCCTAGCTACTAGGCTGACTGCTCATTACACATATATTTAAATCGATTTAACATGCTAAAACTGAAATAAATTATAATTTAAATATGAGAAACTATATAAAATACTAGCTGACCCGACAAATTTTGTTCTGCCATGTTTAGTTCAATTAAAATAACTATCTGCTATAACAAAAATAGGGGTTGATCGTAGAGGGGTGAAAATTAAGGGTTGTATGTATTTTTGTATGTTGTATCAAAAAAAAACATAACCTTTGGGGACACTCCTTATCACTTAAGGGTTTGAAAGATAGATAGTAGCCGATTCTCAGACATACTGAATATACATTAAAAAATTCACAAGAATCGGTCGAGCCGTTTCAGAGAAGTATGGGGACGAACAATATGACATGAGAATTTTATATTTTAGATATTAAGTACTTGCATATAGCCATATATTAAGATTATTATCAATTAGTTTAGTTGCAACATGATACTTCATGAAACGCGAGTACATTCGGGAGGCTTAATACTCGACACTTTAACGTGAAAACAAACACCCAGTTTTAATCTGTATTTGAAAACAAACGTATAACAAAAGAGCGAAGAATTTGCAAAAAAAAGTATGAATTTCAAAAGACTACCTGCAAAAACGATAAGGATCGACAGAAATCTTTTTTAAAGATAACATTGTTTTTTGTGCTGGCGCTGATATTCTGTTATCTGGTTACGACTAAATGGAGTAGTGACTCATAGATTTATTAGACATCTTTATCTAGGCACCGGTAAATGGGACAAGGGGCGGACACTTCTAAAATGAATAATTTAATTGCTTGGTATGAATGATCTAGCTTTATTTAAATATTGTTAGTTTTACCAGGTATTGTATAAAAACTTTAGTGTTGCATCAGAAGCGTAACATTTTTCATACAAATGTTGTATATTATTTGACAAACTAATAGTAAAACCAGATAAATACCCATCCAATTAAAATAACACAGAACTTCCTACATGAAGTTTCTGAACGTAACTAGGTTTAGTATATGATATAGTATAAGCTCCATTCGCATAAGAATTAGTTATTCCTATTAAAACTAATTAACTATTTAGTTATAGCAGGAATAACTAACTACTATGTAGGCTATACATTTTAAGTCTAATAAAAGAAAATAACTATGTATTCGTTTTGTGATATTTAGATAATAGTTTTTATAATAAAGCAGAAGAGAAAAACATATACATAATAACTTATATGAATCGTTGCGTGCGTTGAATTCTTTAGTATCGAGAAAAATGGAACATTTCTGGTTTGATTAGGTGTTCATTTTAGTATGTTGTATATTTATAACTGAGTCTGTAAATAATAGCTGTTTTTAATCTATGTAATTTAAAGTTCTACGTTACTTCAATCGTTTATATTATATTTATTTATTAAGCCGATATAAATATAGAACAAACAACTGTAAAATAAAAATCCGTACGCATAATAGATTTATAATTTCATAATCAGGCAACCCTATCAATGAATTGTATTCCATAGCTCACCATCTATACTCTATACCCATAATATCGACTGGATCTTTCAAAGAAATCATCCGAAAAAAGAACGCCATTGCCCATAATGCATGCCATTATACCTGTTTCATTCTAACGTATGTAAATCATTGTGTTGAAGAGAGACAAAATACTTCTTATTCAACCAGGCATGTTTTTATTTCATCAGTCGAGACTTAAAGCTCGTGAACGTTGGAGGTGCTGTGAATTTGTGTTGTGTTGAAACTGATGTGCTTTTGGTGTTGTTTGGGATTTTTTTCATAATCGATATTAAGGTTTGTTTCTTTTTATTTATCACAAAACTTATATAAATACGTTCACTACAACATTCAATTCATATTTCATTTCTGCTTGTGTTATAATTTTATTTCGATCGAGAAATTTGAGTTATATAAATTAATATTTATATAAACCCTGCTAAGGAATATGTCAGATATCTCACCAATACTTAATTATTAGATTTATCTACAATGATTTATTAAAGTTAAAATAACTATTAATATTCTTGATATTATTTTCAGTGCACTTTAAGTTGAGAATATTTTTAACATAAGAATGAAATCGGTTAATCTTACGAAATAGTAAAACAGCTTATAAAACCTCTTTTATACATTCTTCTAATTTTATTGGCGCTAGCTTTGACATAGTGATCATAAAAACGTTACGGTAGGTGACCCTTCTCAGGCAATTTACTACGTATATTTATGCATTCTTAGAGAAAGCTCAGGGCTAAGCTTGCAATATGTTTTGATATCCGGTTGAAAAATTGTTGAAATTACATTTAAGTACGAGGGAATTAACGGGGAGAGAATTTTTTGCTTTGTGTTTTTTTATCGATTCTTTATAAAGATTTTTATGAATATGTTTATATTTTACTTTACGCGTAAAACAGTATTTGTACCAGATATTTTTATTAGATAATTATTGTTGTATTGAAAAAAAATAGGCCTTAGGAAATTAAGAATCTTTTTAGATTCTTCCTAAAGTCTTCATAAAGAAGACCTTCTCTTCTAGATGACTTCGTGAATATTGAAGTGAATCGACATTATGAATGTTTGTAACACAAAAGTTTTCTTAAGATATCAATCCTTGTCTTTACTTTTAAATAAACTAAGATAGAATATCATGAATTACAATGCGTGATACGTTTAAAATATAAGGAACTTCAGCATTTTATCTAAAAGCATATGTTTAAGATAACATTATCAGAACTTTATGTCCTTAACAAAACGCGTAGGTAGCTTTATTCTACTAAGTATAGCTTAACGACGAAATATTATATATTATACTAGCTACCCCCATGAACTTAGTTTCTCTTTAAGTAACAAATGAAAAATAGGGGTTAATTGAAGAGGGGTGAAAATTAAGGGTTATATGTATTTTTTAATGCCACATAATAAAAACATAAAAACAAAAAAATCTTCTAAAAAATAAAAATTAAATTTGGGGTGGACAATTTATCACTTAGGGGGTGTAAAGATAGATAAAAGCCGATTCTCAGACTTATTGAATATGCATAAAAAAATTCATAAGAATCGGTCGAGCTGTTTCGAAAGAGTATGGGAACGAACATTGTGACACGAGAATTTTATATATTAGAAGATAATATTAGTTTATGCCTTCATAGAAATGGAATGAAACCCACGTTTTTCACTACATCTTTGCATTTAACACTGGACAAGTTTGGTCATCTTATTTTGGAAAATATTTATCACAGATTGGGTCGGTTTAGAATATTGTATCATAATTCAATACAATGCAAATGAGCTATAATGTTTTAAGATACTAATGTTTCTGCATTTTAATAAATAATCAAATATACAGTATTAATAAATATACAATTTTCTTAATCTACATAGTAATAATAAAAATAATAAAAAAAAATTAAAACAAATTTAATAAGTTTGTCCCTGTGGCAGCGTACCATTAACGCTGGCAGCATTTCCTCGCCGTATTGCGATACTTATTCGTTGAGCGAGGAAAGCACCATAAATTAAATATAAGTTTATATAAATATCATTAGGAGTAAAAAAAACACTGAGAAAAATAAAGATGTCTTCCATGATGCTAATATCTACTGTTCAATTCGTTTTGCACGTCGTTTAGTAACAAAAAATAACATAATACCTAACTGTATATTATGATGTACTAGAGTAGCATATATAATATGTAAGTATCTACTATATATTTTAAGATTTCCAGAGAACATTCAATACGTGTTTTAGTTACGTGCACCAACCACCACCAACCAACCAACAAACCACTATGATAACAGTCGTTAATTTTTAATTTATCTAAATTAATAACATATTTTATACATTTATATTAATTAAAGCAAGCATAGAGATACCTTTTCTGTTCAATAAAAAGTTATTAATGATATCAATAACAAATACCAATCAATAAATATATATTTAGAAAATATATTCAAAACTCTGTTACAACTTAAAATAACCACCCTAGAATGTCATTAAATACACAAACAAACTGAGTTTCTTCATTTTGCATTAAAGAAATAATATACATCATTTGAAAGCCTCATTAAATCTGAATATTGCAAAACAAATATTTAGTTTGTGGCGGGAGATGTCAAAATGTCATTGTAAATATTTTTTAATCTTCGGGAAGTGCATTTTATCTGTATTTTATCGCATGTATGAATAACATTGTTTTTCTTTTGTTATCACGCTTGAATGTAAAATAACTGTATGTAGTAATGTATTATTGCTAATTATTGATTAAAAATATACAAAAGAGTTTGACATTTTTATTGTAATATTTTTTTGGTAACAGGGTTGCCTTTGTGTTTTAATAAAAAGTGTCTTCACGGAGAGTGATGTTTTCTAATATATCATACATTGTTATAAAATTCTCACATGACAAGTCAAAAAGAATTTTGATTTATGATAACAAATAATTCTATTGCTATTAAAGCTTTATATTTAAATGAATTTTGTAGGTTATTCATCAAATTTAGGGTTTTAAAGTTAGTAAATGAAGCTTTATCTATGTGTGTGTGTGTGTATGTATGTGTATAAGGAAACAGCGTGAAAGAAATGTGTAATCTGCTTAAGTTAAATTATAGTCTAAGAACAACAAACATAGTAAAAACGTTCTAAGTAAACGCGTTTTATTTCTATAAAAAAACAGACTTTTATTGAAATATTATTTTCCTACAGAATAAAAGAATAAAACTTCAAATAAATTATCAGGATTAAAAAGACTGCAACTGTTTTGACATTTATTGTGTCTAGACTTGGTATTTGAATAATTTTAACATAAATAATGGATTTTTTAACGACTTCAATCGGATTTGATATAAAAATATCTTTCATGGGAAATGCCTGAAAAAACAGAGCCACTAAATACTTGGTAACGACTTGG